GGCGGAGCAATCAAGGAAACAAGCAAAGGACAATAGGAGACCAACACACAAGCAGATGTGAAAAGACATGGAAAAACAAAACTGAGGGGATATCAATCTGTACAAATACATTTCTGGTAGGTAGGGCTAGTGGGATGGATGTGAAACCAAGCAGGGGAGAGTGACACGGCTGGAAAGGAAGAGAGAAAAACATCAGTCCTCATCCTCATCATCGATGTCGTCGTCTTCGTCGTCGTCGTCGTCGTTGTTGTCATCGTCGTCGTCGTCGTCATCGCCATCATCGTCGTCATCATCAATGTCTTCCTCATCTTCTTCCTCACTATCATGTTGCGCATCGTCCCCAGTGCCGTTTTCATCACTTGAGTCGGAATCATCACGCGGGCGTTTTCGTTTTTTGCTATTCGTGTTGGTGTGAGTGGATCGCTTCTTCTTAGCAGGCGCCACATCTGCACTTCCTTCCCCTTCCTTGCTACCTCCATTCTTGGCCGTCCTCTTTGATCGACCGGTCAACTCCCTGCTGGTTCTGGGTTCATTGTTTGTCGCTTCGTCTGGATCGGCACCCACAGTGGCAGGAGCATCAGGAGCAGGCGGCCCAGTAAGCACAACCAGATCGTCTTCGAAAGCCCTAAGGATAAGTTTCAACTGGTCGTTTTGCTTCGGCCCCACCTTCCCGCAGAGAGTATTTACCGTGATGCCGTGCTCGTTATCTTTGATGCGCAGCGTAACACCCAGCTTCTTCAAAGTATTTGCGGTGGTTTTACCGGGCCATTCCGTTTTTGCAGAGTGAGTCACTTTGCCTAGACCAGCCATCAGCGTTCAACAAATAAAATATTACATTGAACAAACTAACTTACTAATTGCTTCATTCAACTTTCCTCTGGCGGCCTCTAAGTTTTTTTCTTTGGAACCTGTAGCAAAATAAATCTGATGAGTGTGATATTCCCAGACGGAAAGAAAGCCACAAACTAGCCAACATACCCTTATCATATGCAGATGCACTCGTGCCAAGCCTTCGTTGGCGTTTCCTAGGTTTGACAACTTTAGAGGTGCTACCGGTCATCCTCTTAATCAGTTCCTGACCGCTTGCGAAGGACAGAAAGTTGGCCGCGATGTCCGATGTCTTTTCCTTTGCACACATGTCAACAAACTGTTCCCCCATTATGCTACCACCGCTGACGACCTCGGATGTCGTTCCCTTGCTCTTGTAGAGCATTACAAATCCTTCAACATCGTGCGCTGCCCCAAGGTTTTTCAACTAAAGGCCAATGTCAGTTTGTTTCCCGAAAATGTGCAAAGGAAGTAAGTTTGACTTACATCGAGCATGACCTTACGGCTCCAGAGTTCGGTTTCGGCTTCTCGGAAAAAGCGGCTCCGCCTAGCCTTTTTGCGTGATGCTTGAGATGTTCCGCCATCGGGTCCCGGACAATCGCCCCGCCCAAAAGGATTGGGTAGTTGAGCCAAGAAGTCGATATCTTTGTACTTGAGTTTGGTCGCTTTGTCGAGCAATCTCCAGAGGCGACCACACTCTTTCTTCCGCTGGCGTACAGGTATGTTATCTGTGGGTTGGATAGGGAAAAAAACGACCAATTTGTTTATGAGTAAGATGCAAGCAACATTCGTCATCAAAATGCAAGCTTACCATCATAATAGACTTTCCGAGCTTCAATGTCATATTCACAAAAGTTGTTGTAATTAGTAGGCCCTCTGAATCGGGCCCTGTCGCCTATGTGCTTCCAAACTGGGTCAAGCTTGAGGAGCCTTTCCAACGCAATCAAGTGAACTTCTGTTTGAAATCGGTTGTATGCCGCTTCAAGTGCGACACGGTCCTCAGCGACTAGTCGTTTGTACCGCGCATGTGCCACAATCTTCTTTCGCAACTGATCACAGGGGAGATGCTTCATCGTGTCAAAAACAGCTGGGTCGAGGCGCATCCGGTTTTTGGCCTTCGAACCATTGTTGACTGGATTAGACGTTCCCTGCTCCGACGGACCACTGGGATGCTCTGTGGCACCTGCATCATGGGTAGAGGTCTCATCGGCCGACCTGTTGTGAGCAGCGCTTGAAGGTGTCGTGTTTGGAAGTTGACGGGTCGAACCTTGAGTTGACGGTTGTTGATCGTTCGAAGCTTCTTGGTTTGAAGCTTGTCGGTTTGAAGGTTGTCGACTTGAAGGTTGTCGACTTGAAGGTTGTTGGTTTGGAATTTGACGGGTTGAAGCCTGAGTTGACGGTTGTTGACCGTTCGAAGCGTGTTCCTGAGTTGACGGTTGTTGACCGTTCGAAGCGTGTTGGTTTGAAGGTTGTCGACTTGAAGGTTGGCGAGCCTGAGTTGACGGTTGTTGACCGTTCGAAGCGTGTTGGTTTGAAGGTTGTCAAACTTGAAGGTTGGCGACTTGAAGGGTGGCGACTTGAAAGTTGGCGACTTGAAAGTTTGTCGGTTTGGAGGTTGACGGGTTGAAGCTGGAAGTTGATGGGTGTTTGACCGTTCGAAGGGTTGAGCATTTGAAGAGTGTCTAACCTGAAGGTTGTTGGATGGAAGTATGTCGGTTTGAAAGTTG